AATAGATGCTTGAATGTCACCCCTGACTATTACTAACCTGAAACACCCTTGGGGCTCTGTCTCCATAGCTCACTCTTTCCTTTGAGACAATATTAGTTTGGGTCTGATTACAAGATACAGAATCCATTGTCAATAATATAATTTGGTTGAAAGATTAGTCAGTTGTTTAAAGGAAATAATTTAAATGCTTATATACTTGCAGAAATTGTTACTGAGTGCACAGAGTTTTCTAATGCATCCTGGCAAATTTTCTTTGTGGAATTAACAGGACCTGGGGGAAAGTTCAATCATTAAACTTGAATTGCATCTGGGACCTTTCAGGACAATAGAGAATTTCAATCTAGATTTGAAGTTAAACAAGGGACAAAGCTTATCAATTCAATTCCCTTTGTTCTGCTATCTAGATATGCAACAAAAGTGCTATATACATTGAAACAGTCCAGAAACCAATCTCTTTCTCTATCTTTATCAAATTTAATTGACACACTTAAAAAGAGTGTCTTTGGGATATCCTAACAAAGATATGAAAGACACTGCATTAAAAAAAATGAAAACTCTATTCAGGGGTATTTTCAAGTGGACTCTATATACTAATATAAAGCCAAAGATGCTCTCAGAAAATTCATTTGTTTCTGCAAGAAGCATCTGGAATTTTAAATCTTCTGACTATAGCTTTGGGAATAACGGCTCTCAGGGGCAACCTCAGGGGCAACTCAATCGGTCCTTTCACCTTAAATGCATAAGATAATTTGACCTCTGGAATCTGAGAGCCTTAAAGACTGCACTAATTTGCATAAACTTCCCAGAAACATAGTTTCTTCTTTTTCCAAAGTATTGCATCATGAAAACATATCCATCCCCACCACCCTTTCTAAAGTCTGTATACATCATATTTATACTTTTGAACAAAATGACCAAAGGGCAGAATAAAGTGGTGTTGCACCACCAATTATGTCATGGACGAGACCACCCCACATGCTTCAGTGATCTCCTGCAGTTAGAAATGGAGAAAAAGAACAAGGCTGAAGGAACAAGTGTAGAATTTAGTTCTTTCTTTCCTGAGAATTCAATGAAAAACTCTAGAGTTGCTCCCAGGTGGCAGGTACTACAATGTAGGGTCTACAGAACACATTTGGTGATGATTTTGGACCATGAGGGCTTATACACATTATCTGCAGCACTCAAGAGAACACTACATTACATTTAGTGTAGGCAAAAAAAAAAAAAAGCATGAGTGGAGTACACCCAATGGTGCTTGCAAGATGTCGTGGCAGTCTTGAGTTAACATACTCCCTGACTCCCTGAGGTAGTACTGGGAAATCACATAGGCATAAAGGAGACTTAGGCCATGATTGTTAATTTTTCCAATTACTGGATTGGGGTAATATTATATTCCTAGTGCACTGATGAAATGATTATTTTTTTAACAAGAATACAATTTTAACTTAAATTATTTTTAAAAAGTTTAATAAAATTGAAATGAGCTTTTAAAAACTATATATTTGCAGTATTTCTACTGTTTCCCAGTAAGATATTTATAAATGAGATAATGAAATGAGATAATGCATTTGAAACTATCTTTTAAACTAAAATGCATTTTAAAGCTATAAGATACTTTTAGTCACCTTTGAAAAATAATACTAGATTTCCCATCATAATATGGCTTGGTCTGCTGTATACTTACTGGTACATTTAATGTATTTGATGAGCTCAACATATGATCTAATTGGTGAAGCTATTGTGCTATCATGTGGATTCTTAAAATAGATTACAGGGGAGAAAATGTCTCCATATTGCATCAGTCATACTCCTGGCAAGATGTTGATGGCATTGTCTTACAGAGTAATTAAGAAAAGTTTAAGGATGTCATGGAGAAATTTAAGTGAAACTAGCAATTGGAAGTAAAGTATTCTCAAGCTAATTGTGGGGAGTTGTGGCCACCCCTGGTCTAAAGGGCAAGGGGATGCTGTAGGTACTAGACCCCAGGGAGAAAGCCACAGAGAGTTTTAGGAAAGGAATGCATTTACAGTTGACCCTTGAACAACACAGGTTTGAACTGCACAGATCTACTTATATGTGGACTTCTTTTCAACAAATATATTGGAAAATATTTTGGAGATTTGCAATAATTTGTAAAAAAAAAAAAAAACTCACAAATGAGCTATGTAGCCTAGAAATACCAAAAAAAAAAAAAATTTAAGAAAAAGTTGGATATTGTAAGAATACAGTATGTAATTCATATAACATATAAAACATACATTTTAATTGATGTTTATGTTATCCTTAAGATCTTTAATCAACAGTTGGCTATAAGTTATGTTTTGGGGGAGTCAAAAGTTATATGGGTTTTTTTTTACTGCATGGAGGGTTGATGCCCCCAATTCTCACACTGTTCACAGATCAACCATACTACCATGTTTGGGAGTGTGCCTTGGAAAGAAAATCCACCTTCCAATCTTTTACCTATATTTACTATCAGTTGAACTCAATCTTAGGCCAGCAAGCAGGAGATTCCATTAATAAAGTTCATAAATTTCAGCTTCTCGAGGCACACAGCAGGGTGGATCTGACAGGGTAAATAAAGCATATTAAAAAAGAGAGAGAACTGGATAATGACTTTTGTATGTTAAATATGAAAGTGTGTGTTAAAAATGAATTTAATTGCTATAGATGGGGTTTAGTCATTCACTTACTCAGCAAGACGTTGATAAATGCCTACTATGTGTTCTGTTCTGTGCAAGGTACTGAATAAAATATTTGATACAATACCTCTTTTCAAGAATTTTATCATTTCACCTGAAATATAGGTGAGAAAAATCAACTGTTACAACCCCATTCTATAAAAGAGAAAGTCAAGCAGATAGGAGGAATCTTCAGGAAAATACAACCTGAGCCAGTGTTAAGGAATGATAGGAATTAGACAAGTAAACAATGGATGAGAGGGAGAAGGGAAAGTATAGGTAAAGCAAGTAAACATGTAAAGATACTCCAGCTCAAGAAATCCAGGTTCAGGAAACGGGAACTTTTTCAGTTTTCCTGGAAGGAAGGAAAATCTAGCACCAACAAAGTTGGCCTAGATCACTGAGGTGCTTTATTCGTTTGTTAGCAGTTGTGTGTTTTATCCTAAAATGGTTGAGAAACCAAGGAAGAATTTTAAGTCAGGGAACGGCCTGACAAGATTTGCATCTGAGAAACAATTACGGCAGTTGTGTGGAAGATATATGGGAAGAATGTGAAACTGAAGAGTAGTTCAAAATCCAGAGAGTACTTCAAAATTCAGAAGAAAAGTGCCAGAGGCTTTGTATCAGGCAAAATTCTTCAAATCTCCCCAGAAACAGAACCAATAAGATACAATCTGCAGTAGGCGAGCTAGAGATCCGGGAGAGCCAAAGGTGTAGTTCAGTCCAAAGGCCAGTATGCTGGAAACCCAGGAAGAGCCAATTTTCAGTTTGAGTACTAAGGGAGGAAAAAGCCAATGTCAGTTTGAAGGCAGCCAGGCAGAAAGTATTCCCTCTTACTCTTGAGAGAAATGAGTCTTTTGCTCTAATCAGGCTTCCAGCCCACTAAATCTGGGGAGGGAAATCTGTTTAACTCAGGCTACTGATTCACTTGTTTAACTCTTCCAGAAAAGTTCTCACAGACACACCCAGAGTAACTGACCAAAGGTCTGGGCAGCCCTTGACCCAGTCAAATTAACAAGCAAAATCAAAATCATCCAATGCTTGAAATCAGGAACAACGCTAGGAATACTGCAAAAAATATATATATAAGAAATTGGAAATCAAATGGCTCTCAGAGATGACCATCAAGCTTGATTCCCAAGAGCTGTCTTGCATACCTGGGTAAAATGTGATGCCACGGACCGTTATATTCTATGAGAGTATATATGCTATGTGATTATCCCCCAAAAGGAGTATATTCAATATCATTTGCTAAAAGTACATTTGCCATATTTGCAATATTATTTGCAAAGGCAAACAACATATCAGTTGCTTATTCAACACTTAAATGTAAATCATATTATAACCCAAATCCTTTACCACTGCCTCCAACTCCTCCTCATTCTTCAACTTCCACTCAAGTTCTTCCTCACTGTGGAGCTTGCTCTGGTCCCCATAATGGTTGCCAAACACCCATGTTTCCAAATTCTCTAGAAAATGATCCATACCAAAAATGTATTGTCTTCACTTATTCTTTTTTTTTGTTTTGTTTTTGTTTTTGTTTAAACTTTAACTCTGAAAGCAGACAGTAATCTCTTTGAGGTCAGGGGCTCAATCTCTTACTTTAAGATCATAGCACCTAACAACCAACATCAGTTATATTTTTTGTGCTCTCCATGTTAGTAGATTTATTTATCCTGTGCCCTACATAGGAAAGACTAACAGAATGGAAGTAATATTCTATTTAAGTTATTGCCAGATAATTTAAAATGGAGCAGAAAATTAAGCTTCTTGGACATATCAGTTTCATGCAAAAGAGACAATAAATAATCTTAGTCACCATCTTAGATTTTAGGTCAAGCCTCATGTATGGCAAAATTCTGAAGGGAATTCATGACTTTTAACTTTGGATTATGATTAAAATTCATGGTGTGACTCTAATATGTAATGTAGAAATAATTTTAAAAATAAGTTAGGTAAAGTTAACTTCTTCATTACAGAAAATTAAAAATATTTTTTCAGTACAAAAATAACTATCTAACTACATTATATTTGTTCCTGTCTTAAAAATATATTTGAATGGATTTATGTATAATTAACAGATAATTTTTTTATTCTTTTACTTCCTTTATAGTTTTCCTAGGATATTTCTGTGTTTACATATTTCTGTAATACTCATTTCTAAAGATAAGTCATCCATGTTCTCCTAAATTTATTACCAAGTGGAATTCTATAAATTGAATTTCATTTTTCAGTTTTCTTCAATATTAAAAATAAAACAAAAAAATGTTTGAAAGAACTTACGGTTAGGAATTAACCCAGGTCCAGGAAACCAAGGTAAACGTTTTCAGTTCTATCAGCATTGACACTTTGTTTCCACAGGTGTGAATGCCAATCAATGGTCTAGATCTCTCTGTGGGACACACCTAAATTCCATTAAAATTTTTAGAAAGTAAATTTATTTCTTATTTTGTTGATATTTTAAAGCACAATTTTTATTTTAAAATAATTAGGCATTTATCTTTTTCTTTGTACAATATTCAAGGATTTTGTCCCAGATGAAATTTTAGGGTAAAGAAAACACTTTTTTTTTTTTTTCATATCCAAAGTGTTTTGTTGTTGTTATTGTTCTACTTTATAGAAATACTGTTTTTAAGTAGGATACCTGATGCAGAGAAAAATTTAAATACAAATATTTGGGTAGTATTAGGTATCCTACCCATTCTCACTAATCTTTGTTTCAATCATTAATTAATCGAACCCTTGCTGTTTTACCAAAGTTCAACAGAAAAAAACTCAAGCTCACCTTCATAAGAAAGACCTCATTTATCTTTCCAGTGTTTCCTGCTTTCTTTTCCCTTCCTTACCTAGAAGAACGATAGAGAAAAAAAATTCATATCACAGTGTGATGCTGCAGGTATGTATAGAAAACCCTTGACAGCCATGTTCCCATCAGCAGTTTAGGGAAACTGGCCAGCTTCTAAGTCTCTCCCACTCCCCCTCTCCTCAGGTAGCTGGCTGCTAGATGTTTACTGATTAATTTGCATCGAATGTTTTCCTAGCAACCAACACTAGGATAGGATTATATACTTTAGTAAAAAGACTGTTTTCTATAAAAGAAGCTTAGACTTTCTAAAACACCATAGGCAGAAACTAATAGTGTTTTAAAGCAAAGCTAAAGGTGATTCCTTCACATGTTCAAAAGAAATTTCACCCAATTTCCTTTTATTGTTATTTTTCTTGGGAGAATCAGTCACTTTTTCTATTTAAAAAAATTGTATTTGTGGACACACTTTCATTTATAAGGCAGTTAAACTTGATGGTGAAGGATTACATATTATGTACTTTTAAGAAATCCACAAACAAGTCATGTCATTTTGTAATTCTCAGTGCTAGACGTGGTAAACAAATAGGTCTGGTTTCTTTTTTTTTAGGTAAAATTAATATATATCATTACATAGTTTCAGGTACACAACATTATAATCCAACATCTGCATATACTACAAAGTGATCACCGTCAAAAGTCTAGTTACCATCCATCACCATACAATTAACCTCCTTCACCCAATCCACCCAACTGTAATCCCCTTTCTCTCTAGGAAACATCAATCTGTTCTATGTATTTACGAATTTGGTTTTTTTTTTTTTTTAAGATTCCACTTGAGTGAAATCACATGGTGTTTTTCTTTCTCCATCTGACTTATTTCACTTAGCATAGTACACTCAATGTGTATCCTTATTATTGTAAATGGCAAAATTTCATTTATTATGGATGAGTAGTATTCCCTTGTGTGTGTGTGTGTGTGTGTGTGTGTGTGTGTGTAAAATATCTTTATCCACTCATCCATTGATGGACATTTAGGTTGTTTCGTATCTTGGCTAACATAAATAATATTACAATCAACATATAGGTGCACATTTATTTTCGAAGTAGTGTTTTCATATTTTTCAGGTAAGTACCCAGAAATGGAATAACTGGATCATACTGTAGATCTAGCTTTACTTTTTGAGAAATCTCCCTACTATTTTCTGTAGTGACTGCAACAATTTACATTCCTACCAACAGTGCACAACAGTTCCCTTTTTTTCCACATCCTCTCCAGTACTTGTTATTTCTTCTCTTTTTGATAACAGCCATTCAAATAGGTATGAAGTAATGTATCATTGTGGTTTTGATTTGTATTCCCCTAATATTTAGTAATGTTGAACATTTTTTTATGTACCTTTGGTCATTTGTATGTCCTCAGAAAATGCCTATTCAGATCCTCTGCCCACATTTTAATTGGGCTATTTGGTTTTTTATTGTTGAGTTGTATGGGTTCTTTACATATTTTGAGTATTAACACTTTATTGGATATATGATGTGTAAATGTCTTATCCCATTACATGCATTGTCTTTTTGGTTTTTGTTTGTTTTAATTTTTAATTTTTTTTAAATTTCCTTTCAGTGTACCAGAATTGTTTATGCAACACACCCAGTGCTCCATGCAATACGTGCCCTGCATAATACCTACCACCAGGTTCACCCAACTTCCCACCCCCTGCCCCTTCAAAACCCTCAGATTGTTTTTTCAGAGTCCATAGTCTCTCATGGTTCATCTCCCCGTCCAGTTTCCTTCAACTCCCATCTCCTCTCCATCTCCCCATGTCCTCTGTGTTATTTCTTATGCTCCACAAATAAGTGAAACCATATGATAATTGACTCTTTCTGCTTGACTTATTTCACTCAGCATAATCTCTTCCAGTCCTGTCCATGTTGATACAAAAGTTGGGCATTCATCCTTTCTGATGGAGGCATAATACTCCATAGTGTATATGGACCATGTGGTCTTTTTGTTTTGATAATGGATTTCTTCTCTGCACAGAAGCTTTTTAGTTTGATGTAGTCCCATTTGTTCATTTTGCTTTTGTTTCACTTGCCTTTGGCAACAGATTCACAAACATGACACTAGACCAAACTTAAAAAGACTGTCCATTCTCCATTGCATGTTCTTAGCTCCTTTGCAGTAATTAATTGTCCATGTATGTGTGTGTTTATTTCTTGGCACTCAATTCTGCTCCATTGATCTGTGTATATGTTTTTATGCCAATGCCATATTGTTTGTAGTATAGTTTGAGATTAGGGAAGGTGGTACTTTGTTCTTTCTCAAGATTACTTTGGCTGTTTGGGATCTTTGTGGTTCCATACAAGTTTAAAATTATCTGTTCTAGTTCTGTAAAAAATTCTACTGGAATTTTGATAAAGATAGCATTGAAAATATAGGCTGTTTTGCATAGTATGTGCATTTTAACAAAACTAATTCTTCCAATCCATTAGCAAGGAAAATATTTCCATTTATTTCTTTCATCAGTGTTACAGCTTTCAGTGTACAGGCCTTTCACTTCTTGATCAAATTCATGCCAAGGTATTTTATTATTTCTGATGCAATTGTAAATGGGATTGCTTTTTAAATTCTTCTTTCTAATAGTTTGTTACTAGTGTAGAGAAACACCCCAGGATTCTGTATATTGATTTTGTATATTATAAGCTTACTAAATTATTAGTTCTAACATTTTTGGCAGACTTTATGATTTTCCTTATATAGTATTATATCATCTGCAAGTAATGACAGTCTTACTTCTTCCATTCTAATTTGGATGCCTTTTATTTCTTTTTCTTATCTTATTGCAATAGCTAGGACTTCCAATACAATGTTGAATAAACATGGCCAGAGTGAGCATCCTTGTCTTGTTCGTGATCTTAGAGGAAAAGTTTTCAGTCTTTCACTATTGAAAATGTCAGCTGTGATTTAGTCATATATTGTCTTTTTTATGTTGAGGTATGTTCCCTCTATTACCACTTAAGAGGTTTTTTTTTTTTTTTAAAGATTTTATTTATTTATTTAACAGAGAAAGAGATCACAAGTAGGCAGAGTCAGGCAGAGAGAGAGAGAGAGAAGCAGGCTCCCCACTGAGCAAAGAGCCTGATGCGGGGCTCGATCCCAGGACACTGAGATCATGATCTGAGCCAAAGGCAGCAGCTTAATCCATTGAGCCACCAAGAGGTTTTTTATCATAAATGTATGTTGAATTTTGTCAATTTTTTTTTGTCTTTGGCGATCATACAATTTTATTCTTTGTTTTGTTAATGTGGTATATAGCATGTTGATTGATTTGTGAAGGTTGAACTAGTCTTACATCCTTGGAAAAAATCCCACTTAACCATTGTATGACCCTTTTAATGTATTGTTGAATTTAGTTGGCAAATGTTTTGTTGAGGATTTTCACATCTATATTCATCAGTGATACTGGCCTATAATTTTCTTTTTTTTTTTTTATGGTGTCTTTGGGTTTGTTTTAGGTATGTGGATTATGCTGGCCTTATGAGTTTGGAAGCATCCACCCTCTTCAATTTTTTGGAAGAGTTTGAGAAGGATAGGTATTAAAGTTTAGTAGAATTTACCAGTGAAGTTGTCTGATCTTGGACTTGTTTGTTGGGAAGTTTTTGAAGTTTTTGATTACTATTTCAATATCCTTACTAGAAATTGGTCTAATCAGATTTTCTATTGCTTCATGATTCATCTTGGGAAATTGTGTGGTTTAGGAATTTATTCATTTCTTCTAGGTTGTCTATTCTGTTGGTATATAATTGTTCATAGTAGTTTCTTATAATCTTTTTTTTCTTATTTTTTTTCTTATAATCTTTTGTATTTTTGTAGTATCAGTTGTAGCTTCTCTTTTATTTCTGATTCTATTTCAGCATTCTCTTTTTATTAGCCTAACTAAAGTTTGCTGGTTTTATTTATCACTCCAAAGATTCAGCTCTTAGTTTCATTTACTTTTGTCTTTTTAGTCTCTATTTTATTTCTTTCTCCTCTGGTTTTGTTATTTTCTTCCTTCTACTAACTTAGGGCTTTGTTTGCTCTTCTTTTTCTAGTTCCTTGAGGTGGAGGGATAGGTGGTTTATTGGGGATTTTTCTTGTTTCTTGAAGTAGGCTTGTATTGCTACAAACTCCATCCTAGAACTGCTTTTGCTGTGTCCCATACATTTTGGTATGTCATAATTCTGTTTTTATTTGTTTATAGGTTCTTAAAAAAAATTCTCCTTTGGGGTGCCTGGGTGGCTCAGTGGGTTAAGCCTCTGCCTTTGGCTCAGGTCATGATCTCAGGGTCCTGGGATCCAGCCCTGCACTGGGCTCTCTGCTTAGCCTCTCTGCCTACTTGTGATCTCTCTCTGTCAAATAAATAAATAAAATCTTTAAAAAAATTCTCCTTTGGTTTCTTCATTAACCCAATGGTTATTCTGTAGCATGCTATTTAATCTCTATATTTGTGTGGTTTTTTTCCTAGTTTTTCTTCTGATTAATTCTTAATTTCATACCATATTTGTTGGAAAAGATGCTTGATATGATTTCAGTCTTGGCCTTATTGAGATGCATTTTGTGGTCTAACACATCACTGCTAAAAAATGGAGTATCTTTTTTCCATCCCTTTAGTTTCAGTCTGCTTGTATTCTTGTTTCTGTCTCTGTCTATGTGTGTGTGTGTTCTTATATCTGTGGTGAGTCAGCCATTTTATGTGTTTTGATTGGAGAATTTGGTCCATTTACATTTCAATAATTATTAATAGGTAAGTACTTCTAGTCATTTTGTTGTTTCCTGGCTGTTTCTCCTGAGAGAAACCAGTCAGTTTCTCTCTGATTCCTTTCTTCCCTTTCTCTCTTCTGGTTTGATAGCCTTCCTTAGTGTTAGATTCCTTTATTGTTTTCTTTTGCTTATTTACTATCAGTTTTTATTTTGTGGTTACTGCAAGGTTTGTACTTAATGTCCTATGTATATAATGATTAGTTTTAAGTCAAAAGGAGCTTAAATTGAACACATTTTTACTC